AAAAAAAAAAAAAAAAAAAAAAAAAAAAAAAAAAAAAAAAAAACGAAAAAAAAAATTGCAACGATACAGATACAGAGAAGATTAGCATGGCCCCTCCGCAAGGATGACACATATGAGTTGAGGACCAACTCATGAGCTGTTGATAAAAAATAAAAAAAAAGGACCGTTCAGCAACGGTTTTTTTTTCTTTGTTTTCTTTTTTCTGTTTTTTTTTAATACAGCTCAGCCACATTTTCTGGGTCACGTCAATGGTTTTGCCGCAACTGTCCATTACTACGGCCGGTAGTTCAGCCGGTCGCAATCCCATTACCTGTTCCGCGGGCCAGTGGGTCGCCGAGGGAGTGAGGGGAGGGGAAGAGGGAGTGGGAGGAGTGAGCGCGCGGAGTGCGGCGAGTTCCCGAAGCTGCATTCATGCGTTGGGCACGTTGTGAAGGTCGGAGGCTGAATGAGAGGCGCGAGCTACGCGCACTCTGTCTGTCTGTCTGTCTCTCCGCTTTTTGAGGGGATTGAGGCGGAGGGAGGGGAAGCGAGGGGCAGGGAGGGGGCTTTTTGAGGGTCTCTCTCTCTCTCTCTCTCTCTCTCTCTCTCTCTTCGCTTTTTGAGAGGATTGAGGCGGAGGGAGGGGAAGTGAGGGGCAAGGAGGGGGCTTTTCAAGGGGACTGAGGCGGAGGGAGGGGAAGCGAGGGACAGGGAGGAGGTGGGGATGCGATCCCGCGCTCTGCAGTTGTTAGGTTAGCAGAGGGGATTCGTGTACGACCGCGGTTCTTGAGTGTCCTCTCTCTCTCTCTCTCTCTCTCTCTCTCTCTCCCCCTCTCTCTCTCTCTCCCCCCAGGGCTGTCGTTTACACAGTAATTAGCGCCGTCATTATTACCAAGGCAGTTGATGTGATCTTCCGATTACCTTCGGTTTCTGATAGGATTACGTGGCGTTGCGCTGTATAACACCGCGGAAGCGATTGGATTTGCGTTCTTCGCGGAGGGGGGCGGGGAGTGGGGAGGCAGCGGGAGGCGTGGGGAGCGGACGGTGTGCAATGAACTCCTTGGTATTGATCACCGTGGGCACAGGGGCTGAGGTAGTGCCATTGGCCTCAGCCTCTGCGTGTGCCGCCTGCGGGTCCGGCTGCTCCCCCGCCGCGCCGTCCTCCGCGTTCCCGTCTACCTCCTCCGCTTGCCGGCGGAGAAAGATTGCCGCGGCAGCCGCGCTGGCAGATCGACTCTTGCTCCTTCCTATCTCTGCTCCCTCGACGAGCTCAAGGAGATCCTACATCTGCGCGCCGGTTCGTTCCCTTGTTTCCGCTCATTCGTCCGCCAGAGGAGGAGGACGAGGGGGAACAGTGCGACGAGCACGAGAAGCGACCGCGATTGCTGCCGCCCAGGAGCGCCGACGGCGCGCGGCATGTCAAACTCCAATTACTACCACTAGGCCGACTACCCATCTACCACTAGGAGGCGCAGCAGCGTTCTCTTCCCCTCTATCCTCCTCCTCCTCCTCCGCCTCCGCCTCCGCCGCGGCTGCCTGCTGCTACAGTAGCTCCTACATCTCTTTCCCCTCCGGTTTGCGCTGCTTGTCGCGCGACACGTGGCGACCGGCTGAGGGGGTTGCTGTTTCACGTTGTGCGGCGCTTACCTCTATTTCTGTTCGATCACCTCCTCCTCTCGGTAGCCGCACTGGCGACACGTGGCAGGCATCTAGAGCTGCGGATGTCACTGATTGCGTCAGGAATAGGTGGGAAGGCAATAGTGGGAGGAGAGGTGGTAGTGGGAGTGGGAGGAGGGAGAGGAGAGAGAGCGAGAGATCGGTGGTGATGGCGATCGTTGCGGCCAGTGAGGAGGCTGACACTGTGCCCATACCTGCAGACAAACCTATCTTATTCGACGTACCAGTCTCTAATAACGGTAACTGAATCTAGACCTGCCCCTGCTGCGTGATACATTCCCGCTCTTTTAGCATTTGTATGCTTAAAGAAAGATGGGGAAAATATATAATACATAATGATTAATTAACAGGAGTTGCGTGCCCATCTCAAGTGGCATACTATTCTTACGCTTTTTACTGAAAAAAAAAAAAAAGAACAAATAGGAAAGTGATTAACGTTCCGCCCCCCTCCCAGACTGGCCGAACACAAATGTGCGGCTATTTTCTTTTTCTTTTTTTAAATGTTTTTGTTTTTGCCCTCCTCCTCCCCCCCCCCTCTCCCTGCAGCGCGGGTTCATTCTGCCCCCCCCCTTGTATTTTTATTTTTTAGAAAGTCATTTTTTTTTCGAGAGGGGCGGCATTGCC